AATTCAATTCAATCATGATAAAATAAAACCGCTCGGTTTCGATTCTCGATCAAATACCTCTAGTTGGAGGTTGTTCTTCAAATCGTCTGTCTGGTACCCGCACTTCTGGCCCCAAAACTCATTTTCTACATATCAACATTTGAATTGCTCTTTACGAATTTTAAAGACGCTGCAGTTAGTTCGAATCCGCTAATCCGGTGTTGCTTTGCAATGATACTGTGCTTCGAGAATTGGGGCGTCGTCTGTCAGATCACGCGATCACAGACAATTATGTGTCAATCACCTTATACCAAAGTATCAAAAGTACTCAACCGGATGACTGAGTGCAACAACAATAAAATGTCTGTTAAAAATGCAATTGTTAAGACAAAGTTCCAAAATACTGCAATCCCTGGGCCTTTCACTGTCAAGATCTCATTGGTAATATTCTTTGCTGTCTGTTTAGAGCGATAAATGTGATGTGAATCAATGGAGAGTGCGTATGGGTCTGTCAATTCTCGGAGAGGGTCAGGCGTGCATTGATCAGCCCCAAAACAGGGAGATAGAACAGAACAATCGAAAGAAATAACTGCAATGCTTGTTGAGTGACTCAATGTGTTCTATCAGTGTGATGTACTAATATTGCGTGTCAACTGCATCTATGAGTGAATGTCTCCTTATTAATAAACTCAGTGGATTAAATTTACCTTCGCAATGACCTTTTCTTCGTTACTCAGTGTTAACTGTGGTATCTTCGAAGAAAGAATGGATTTCTAAATAAAAAATTAACAAGTTAACATGTACAGAGAACCTCATGATCAAACTGTCAACCGCTATCTTGTTGTTGGTTGAGGTTGAGCCGTTAGTCTGTTCACGCGAACTTAATTTCAGTGAAATATTTGTAGTTCTACCTGTTCCATATTTTGATCTATACTTGAGTGCAATGCTTGAATTCTGTAGGATACGTGCGCATTTAAAGATCAAAAAGGAACCCTCGACAAAGGACACCGATAGAAACATTTCAATTTAAGGGTGCAAGGTCTACCACTCGCAAGTGATGGAGCTTATGACAAACATGGTGCGTAGTTCGTGTCATAGTTTACTTACACTTAAAGCTGAAGCGTCCTTAAGCTACTCTTTGCTTGGAGTGGTTTCGGTGTAAAGCCATAAGCACCGAAATTGCTTTGTAAAATTATGCAGCAAACATCGAAGTAACTGAGAACTGACATCGACTTCATTTTGCGATTAAGGTATGCTACGTTTAGCTACGTGATGGAAAATTCTCACTTAAAAAGTCTGTTTGGTACCTTTGATCACGTCGTGGAATTACATTCCTCGTGTTATTTTCGCAAATGATGCGATTAATCAATCGTGTACAATCTATTCGAGGGAGATTTGTGAACCCCATCCGAAAGTAATAACTTGAATGCTTGTTAAGTGACTCAATTTGTTCTCTAATGCGATATACTAATTTTACGTGATCAACTGCACATATGCGTGAATGTTCCCTTATTTATAAACTCAGTGGATTAAACTTACCTTCGCAATGACCTTTTCTTCGTTCCTCAGTGTTTACTGTTGTATTTTCGAAAAAGGAATGGATTTCTAAATAGGAAAAATAACAAGTTAACATGTACAGAGAACCTCATGATCAAACTGTCAACCGCCATCTTGTTGGTACTTGAGGTTGAGCCGTTAGTCTGTTCACTCGAACTTAATCTCAGTGAGATATCCCTCGTTCTACTTGTTCCATATTTTGATCTATACTTGAGTGCAATGCTTGAATTCTGTGGGATATGTACGCGTTTCCAGATAAAAAAAGGAAAACAATAAAACGTGTTTCAAGCTCGACAAAGGAATTCGATTGAAACATTTCACTTTGAGGATGCAAGGTCTACCACTTGCAAGTGATGGAGCTTATGACAAACACGATGCCTAATTCGTGACATATTTTACTTACACTTTAAGTTGAAGCGTCCTTAAGCTACTGTTTGCTTGCAATGGTTTCAGTGTAGGGCCTGAAGCACCGAAACTATACAGCAAACATCGAACTAACTGAGAACTGACATCGACTTCATTTTGCGATTAAGAAATGCTACGTTTAGTTACGTGATGGAAAAACTCTTACCGAAAAGTCTGTTTGTTACCTTTGATCGCGTCGTCTAATAACAATCCTCGCGTAATTTGCGCGAATAATGCAAGTAATCAATCGTGCAGAATCTATTCGAGGGAGATTTGTAGAATACGAGAGACAGTGAACCTCATCGAAGGGGTTTACATTAAAAATTGTGGGCGTTTAACACCAGACAATTACATGATGAGTTATGATATGGGATGCAGCTCATGAAAGGACGAAAACTGATATCGGAAAATTCCCTTGTTGTCATTCATAGCTCCGCTACTAAGATTACATCAAACAGTACGAGAACACTTAAAGAACGCTTATTTGCTGACAAAACTATTGTCACGCGTGACAGATAACTGTAGGAAGACTACCTCCAGTTTAGTGCGAAAATATACATGGATACAAGTCTGCAGACATTATCTTTTCCAAAATGCGAAGTTTTCTGAAAGTGAAACTCGAAGAAAACTGTGAGCTTCGAGGAACAAATGATGTCCATGGATAAATTTACGAGCATATTTTTCCGTCGAGTAGAGGTTATCGGTGTATATTACCCTTAAATATTTGCAAAACGCGGGAACTGAATTGTTTACGAACAGCTTACCTTTTGCTGCATGGGATGTCCAGTTTTCTCCGGTACAACTTTTCTAACAAACAAACATCTCCCTTCTTCTGTAACAACCACATAAGGAGTATATAAAAAAGAAGGGTTCTGGCCTTTTTCGAAAAAAAAATTATCAAGTCTCTTAAATTTTTTTTGTATTTATCACCTTCTCCTTTATCAGTGACCACTTTCATATTTGTAATTGTTTTAATTTTGGTATTCCAACTCCCTGTAAAATATCATTACATTAATTAATTTTTCTTTGTAATCAGTTGTGCAATCAGGTTAGTTTTACCCTTTCCTCAGGGTATTGTGCTGAGCACCAGATGAGGAATACATTTCTACACATTTTTTGGCCTCATCTACAGAGTGGTTTTTTAGAGGTTCTTCGTTTCCGGCGTAGCACAGATTTTTTTTGTAGTACCCCTGGTTTTAGGGTGCACAAATTAAGATTGTATCAGAATGCGTATACTAAAAGACTGACTGACTCATCCTAAATAAACTTTTCACAATAAATGTCTCGTGTGAGTGTAGTCAGAATTCTAAGTATTCCAAAACCCAATTTTCAACCAATTAACGCTCTTTATAATCGACGATAACTCCTAGTTAGATAATTAAAGGTCGCCTGACGGAGACTATCAGTACACAGTCCAACCTGTATTAAGCGGTCACGAAGAATGGCGGGATAACGGCTTTATACAGGTTGACCGTTACAATCCGGTTTCAAAGAATAGGAGTCAACTACGAAACGATAAAGAACGCCATTGTATGGCATAATTGACCTTCAAATGCACAAAGACTTGCTCAAAAATACTACTAACTTTGAGCATCAATATCAGTCGCTGGGAACAGACCCTTATATAAAAACTTTGATTTCGGAAGATGAGCATGGATTTAATTTTACTTCAAAGATTTTATTTAGTTTTATTTAAGTATTTCCGATTTAATTGACTGCTCAACACAGGTGAAAAACAATACAAATAGGCCCATGGGACTCACTCAAAGGTGACCATGACCGTTAAATGTGGGTGACCGCTTCATGGAGGTGAAGATTACAGTGATTTGGAGACATCAAATTGGAGTCTTTGACAACCGACTGGTTAATACAGGGTGACCGCTTAATACGGTGCTTCCTAATACAGGTTCGACTGCACAAGTCGGAACCTCACCATCAACACAATTCATAGCTTAACTCTAAATCTTGAGACAAACGATTAAACGATCAATTATCTACAAAACCACGATGAACAACAGCATTTTTTATGACAACATCGACCGATTGTCCAAACCCTTCCCGGCCCCGCCTCCGGAAGTAAATTACGACCGGTCCCTAACTTCAAAAAGCCCCCACGGTTAAACTACGATTCCAAGGTTTGTTAACACGACGACAATATGTTAGAAGTGGTATTCGCATCCTAGTTTCTACAGTCTCAGAAAAAGGAAACCTCAGCTGGCTGAGATGGTGAACATATTATAAAATTAACTGAATGCTGATAAATTTGTTGTTTCCTCGCGCTCTTGCGCATGTGAGATGTCGGCTCTGCCATTTTCGTGTTTGAAACTCTCCCTTTGGAACCTTACGCTGTTCGTTTTAATGCTTTAAATGCGTTGTGGTCCACTGTTTTCCTCGTTCAGTTGCATTGGATTCTACCGCGCTGCACACGTAGTAATCTCTCTGCCAGTATCGGAAAGACGCACCAAACAACGCCCTGACTATGGTGGGAAAGATGTGGCCGCAAATGAAGCCAAAATTACAATAATCCCACTCGATAGCTATCGCAAAGTTGCCAGATATCTCCAATAAGTAACAAGTTGACGATCACAGGGAAATGAGTGTGTCTCATGATAAAAGTGATAACGAGCAATTTCAGAATTAATTTCAAGAAGAAAATATTGTGAAAGGAACATCTCGGCAGTTTTTTCTAATTTTCGGGTAATGCGACCACCAAAATGGGCTTCTAACAAGATGATTTTAATTCTGAAACAAAATACTGAGCGATGTATACAAAAAGTGAATTTTGGACTTAGCTTAATATCGTGGCAGAGTTTGAAGGAAACCTATTTTTCAAGCCGAAATTCAGTGGACGTCCATTTTTAAAGGGACTGTGAACTAATATAAGCAACAGCTCCTTGCAATAGAGAAGATGAACGTTATGGACTAAAGCTCTCTCTTAAAATTTTAAACCAACACTCTACAATGGAAATAACACTTTATTTACATTTCTTACAGTCATGTACAGAGGCAAGATTTCTTCCTTTTACAAGAAATAAGCATAACTTTTAGAAATTTAATTTCTACTCTGGTTTTATAATTTCCTTCTGTTTAAGACTATCCTCAAACTTATCAATTTCTGCCATGGCTTCCACGGCTTCGTCATCTTCTTCACTGGACTCTCTATAAATACATACCAAAATTTGGAAGAAATGGCATCAAGACTACACAGTAAAAAAGAAAAAAAAAAAACAGGAAAAAACAAAGAGAGTTTCCCACTTACGAGATGTTGAAGACATATTCTTTGGGCTGACGATGTGAGATTGCTTCTTTCTGCTCAGGGGGAAATTAAAAGTAAAGCATCTATCATTATTTATCACGGGGAGGGGGTGTAGAGAGAAAGAATGAAGGGGGGATCACATGGTTTTCAGGGTAACAGGGGGGAGAAACAGTCATTGCTAACAAGGTACAAAGGGGGGGCTACAGAAAATTGCCTGCCAATGGAGGGGATCATTAAAATACTTCAAAGCTTTGGAGGGGGAGGCACAAGGTTAATTTCAGGGTGATACAACAAGAATCCTCCCACCCCCTCCCTAGACAATATAAATAGTGACTGGTCCCAAACATGACAAAGCCTGCATGGATGGCAGTACACAAACACACACTCAAAAAAAAAATAACCGGATATTAGCAGTGGACAATCCGTGGGGTGGCTCTTCCTGTCCACTTTTGCCAGGTTGAGTTGGAATTTAGAATGTTGGTTTTTTGCTGAGGGAGGAAAACAGGAGGACCCACAGAAAACCACTTGAAGCAAGGATGAGAGCTAATAACAAACTCAATCCACATGTGACACCAGGTCCAGGATCTGAACCCAGTTCACAGTGGTGGGAGGGGCGGAAAGGAAGCACTCTCACCACTGCACCATCCCTGCTTCCACAATTAAAGCCTAAAAGTTTTAATTAAGGTTCAAAAATTGCTTTTCATTTCCATGAAAAAACCAAAAGTCTGTGTTTCAGGTAATATAGCATTGAATTGCAACCAGCTCCCTTCTTTATTTTCTTGAATCATGATTGATGCTCAAAATCACAATATTTCAGAATTTCAGCCTGGTTCCAGCTAGGAATGGGTCTCTATTCTTTCCTTGCACCCACCCCACCCCCTTCATTTGCCTTCTCACTAAAGGGAGCTCAGGTGAGAAGGAAGAGATCATGACATTGAAGTAAGTGATTGCTGATTTAAACTTCTTTATCACCATGATTGCCTCAATTTTTCCAAAACGTTTTGGGTATCATCCACAATGTGTTAGGATGCTATATTACATGAACAATACTTTGACAAAGAAATAAAAGGGAAACTCATCTTAAGCAAGAACAGTTATACCTCAAATCAAAGTAAACCTGAAGTGAATTCATGGGTAGTACTATGCAGAATATTATCTTTTTATGGTCAGGTCAACCTCTAAAGGTTGCAATTCTGATTACTGAGCTATTCTGCAATACATCTGGTGCAAACTTAGCTGGCATCCCCACAAAAGTCCTCCCCAATCCTTTAACTCTCGTGAGTGACCAAGACAGAATTCCTCTTTCAAATATCAATATCAAGCAGACAAGTGATGAGAATACAGAAAAATACCAATTAGGGGATTATAGATTGATCCAATACCAAATTCTCCAAACTAACATCACAAGAACTGTATGGCAGACAGTAAGGAGAATTACTAACAAGATCTTGGGAGTTCACGGATTCTCAATCAGTCCTCCATCTTAAACCCATTACACCCTAACATCAGTATCAATATCCTCCATACTCTTCTCTAAAAATTTCTTAAGGTGCTGACAAGGAGAATTTGTTTAACAATCAGAAGCTTCTTTTCCTCTTTTCTCTTGGCCTTGATTTGTGATTCAGAGTGATATTGTAAGACTGAAGAAATTAGATGCTATTTGCTTTGCACATCCAATGGCAAAAAGGGTCACCTCACCTTTAATCTCTCCACCTTTCTTTTGGCCAGTGTTTGTTGAGCTTCTTCTCTAAATGAAGTCTGCAAGATGCAAAGACACTTCAAAATTAAAATCAGTTTAGACATGACCTGCTAAATCTACTGGCTAACTTTCATGCTGTTACCATGGGATGTTTGTCTATAATACAACATAAATGTATTAGGCAATTATTACATGACTGCAATACAACCTGGTTAGCCAGTGGTTAGCTATAATCCTGATATTGCCACACCTAAGGATCTTATCTGACCATACTGGCCTGTTTGTATAGGTAAAATCATGACTTTGAATGCAATTTGGTGTTACTAAGCATGAATAAATTTTTCAAAGACAATAGAATTGCACACATCCATAAGGCAAGTACAATTCATAGTCTTTGAAATATTTACTGGAAAAGTGCTTACTAGTGCTTATTATACCGTATCGTTGTTACTTGTTAATAATTTACATGAAAAATGCATCACAGAAAACGAAGATGAATGAAATTTTGATGGCACCCATGTGCTATTTGTACTTTCCACTTGTGTTACAACTTTGCATTCGTGTTACAACTTTGCACTTGTGTTACATGAAAAATGCGTTTAATTTTTTCATGTTCATTATTAGTGAATTAATTATCTATATCTAGATCAAGACAGAGAAAAACTAAAGTCCAGGACTTTATAACATGACATGGGCTACCCAAGCAAAGTGCCAAGGTGTGTAAAGGTCAGCATATGGGGATGAGGGGAGTAGACAGAGAGAATTAGGCAATTGACGAGAGTAATGAGGAGTACCAGCAAGGGGAAACTATTCCTTGTAGATGTACCCAGAGTGAAGATGAACCAGACAAAAACTTAAGTCACTTTTGCTTTATATTTGAGTGTCATCAACCTGCATCTTTGATTCACAAACTAATCTGACATGTGTATTCCACCATCTGTACTGCCACTTACAAACAAATACAATTTTTGAGGTAATAATGTACATGAAAAAATTATGCACTTCTGATTGGTGTAAAACTAGCGTATTCTGATGTAACACAAGTACAAAGTTGTAACATGAGTGCAAATTATATCATTAATAAGTAATAATATAATTTCCCTTACATTTTGGTGTAGTACGCACTAGTCTTTTAAATATTTCAAAGACTGCAAATTGCACTCACTCTAAGGGTTGTGCAATTTTGTTGTCTTTGAAAAATTTACTTGTGCTTATTAATACCAAATTTCACTTGGGATCATGTCATCACCAATACAAAACAGCTGTAAACCAAGCAGCCTAAGGGCCCAAAACAATGACGATAAATCATCAAGATTTCAACTTTCTAAAAAAACACAGGAAACAACACAAAAAGCAGCAGGCCACACAGATCTAAAACACCCAACAGTTCAAGGTAAATTGTGGAAGTTATTAATAGTATTTTTCAACAAAATTATCTATCTAAGCTGTAAAATACCACCACAATTGCAAAAATCATCTCACTATTTTTTGCACATAGTCGGCTTGTTCCTGTTCTTTCCTTTTCTGGGCATCCTCCAAATATGTTGCGAGTCCTAAAGACATGATGATTAGCTTATTCAACTTAGAAAGTTCAAGAGAAGGTTTTTTTTAAAATTTAAGTCTGAGAATTTAGATCCTCAACTGACAAAAGAAGTTATGAGTTAAGCTGAAATTCACTTACTTGGATCATTTTCCATTTCAAGTGAAGTTGTGAGTGTCTGATGGGTACCAACTAATCTCTTGCCTGCAAAGGGATCAATTCAAATTTCCATAACCCAACATTAGGTTGAAGTTGAACCCACTTCCAAGAAGTGATCAGCACGTAACTTCCCCCTATAATTTCCATACATCATCCAGCAAACAGGTTATGAGAATACTCAAACTTATCAGGTAGAAGATATCTTGATCCAACACCAAATTCTCATTACTAATTTATTGGGAACAGGAGAGAATTAAAAACTAGATCTTAGGAGTTAAAGGGTTAAGTGAATAAAGTGTCATAGAACAAAACATCAACGAAAAACCAACAGAAGCATCCCAAAAAGCATTCAAAGTAACCCAGTGAATGTGCGTAAAAAGCTGCCGTAACGATACATTTTCAGTAGTTGATTGAGAAGAGCACGAATACAATACAAACTCACAACTATAAAAAATCGTTGCACAAGTGAGAAAGTTCTAAAAAGATGAGAAAAGATCAGAAATGCAGGATATTTGTATAGTACCAACAGTTGTTTACAGTAAATGGTTTGAACTCGGGAGTAACATGTAATAGTGTAGTTTGATCGTCCGGGTGAGTGTAGTCATACAGTTTCAGATGAAGATCATTCGACTGACAGCAACCTTTCACTTGACTCTGACTATGACTTCCGCTCAGGTTGTCGAAACGTCAGTCACCATTACACACAACAAGTCCTTCACGGACTCAGGACTACACTCACCCGGACGATCAAAATACACTATTAACAGTTGTTTAGTTAATTAGACCTTATCCTTCAGCACTTTTGTCAAATACTCGCTTGGCAGATGAATGCCATCGTCTCGATTGCAAGCGTTTATTTCCCATGCTTCTAGAAAGCGGCAGGGCCGCCAATTTGCAATTGAGCGTAATACAAGATATTTTACGAGAGGTAAGCTGTTTAATTCCAGACTGATGTTTTAAAACAGTGTTTTAACGAACCGTCTCCAGCTTGAGGGGCAGTTTTTAGGCGGTGGTTTATTCCACTGACGGCTAATGTAGACTTCTGTTCCGGAGGAGGGTCTATACACTTCCAGAAAGCCTTTGCCTTCTCGATAGTTTCTGCAGAACTTCCTGAAAAAGGCACTGTTGTCACGTCCGCCATGATGTTTTTGTTTTCGTTTCCAGGGTGCACGGTAACAAGGTTGTCTTTGCACAGGCTACCCACACTGCTTATGCACCGCTTCCCTCACATCTACGATTCCCTGTTATGTGCAGTGTTTAGGATCACTTCACTTATTTAGAGTATTGAAAAAATAGACTACGCAATTACAAATTCGAGCTCAGATGTTTTCCTAGTTTTGTCTAAAATTACCCCAGTTTGTCAATCTATTATACAGTTTACATCTTTCCAAACCCATGCAAGATTAACAGATAGCATGACTAACTTGTTTTGATAAACAACTATAGGGTAAAAGTAGGTTTCGTCACATCTTTTCCTTGAGATTTGTCAATTGCTTAGAAAGGAAAAAGTAACAATCACCGGAAGTTGATTTCTTTAAAACTTTTCCCTGATCATTCTATCAGTTCTTAACAACCCTACAGCCTTAATCAAACTTTGATCAAACATTAACCTTGTAAAAAATTAATCAAATATTAACTAATCAGACACAAATTAACCCTGTAACCTTAATCAAACATTAAGGCTACAAAAATGGAGGAACTGATCACCAACTTAAGAAGTTTTTGATTATTAAACAAATTCTCCTTCTCAGCACCTTAGAAAATGTATAGAGAACATCATGGAGAAAACACATACTGATGTTAGGGTGCAGAAGGTAAATTTGTGCAAACTGTTGTCAGCCAGAATCTACAAGAGATTGTTACATAAGGGGAAGACTAACAGCTGCACTAATGATCAGGTACTGGATCCTGGCATGGTAACAATTTAATTAATATACTTCACATGATTTTCCATTCTCCGTTGATTTGGGAATCCTGCCAAGATCCCGGTAAGGTCCCATAAGGGGTCCTTTCGGCAGTTTTGATGGGATTCCCATACAATGAGAGATGGAATTTCATGTGAAGTACTTTATTAAAGAATGTCTGGAAAAATGCAAAAGGGAACCAAATGGAAAGAAAAAGAGAGTGGAAACATAAGAAGAAGAAAACACCGATGTAAGATGCCAAAATAAAAAAAAAGGAGGAATTTAAGACTGATGCAAGTCACTGCAAAAAAAAAAATGCTCATCTCTCTTGTGAGGTGCAAGAGTAATATGTGATCATTTGTGGAATTTGTCTACACTTGAGGCTGTGGAATCTTAAGGGAAACTTGTTTTGTTAGTTGTCACACAAGAGAGATAAAAGAGGGGGTTTCCACATACCCTCCTACTGTGGATCAATATTTGCGGGGTAAAAAGATTGAATAAATGCCCAACCTTTAAACCAGTGAACACTGATTACTCATAATAAGCAGAGACAAGAGGATTTTGAAGCCCTCTATATTTGTTCCTGTAAAGTTTTCTTTTCCTAAGCATATTTACAAACAAAGTGGATTGCCTATACAAACAGGCCAACGTAAAGAGTTTAAAAGCTGACATTTTGAGTGGTAGCCCTTCGGTAAAGCATAGCCCTATGCCAATCACTCAGACAAAGGGCTAATGCTGGAAACATCAGCTTTGAAACTCTTTATAATACTAAATTACCCTGTTATACTCTTCCACAGATATAGCACCACAGTTTCTTTAGAAACTTACCCCCTTTATCTACTTATAAAAACAGATGATAGAAATGCATTTCTCTTGATGATAATAATGGTATAAATACAGACAATCTTAGAAATATTTACTATCTTATTAAATAATTTCTGTAACAGGCCCTTTGATAGTGAAGGTGAGTAAGAAAGCTGGTAAGCTACAAACAGCTGTTGGGGTTGTCAGGGAAACTGCCACAGCCCATGCTGTTCTACGCACACAGTCTCCTTCTCTCATTTTCACTGACCATGAGAATGACACAAACTAAAATTATTTCTCCTATTTTCTGTCTAAGAATTCTTCTTAAGAGATTCTATTCTGCTTGATATTCCATCACTCTTGTCCAATAAGACCTGAAAGAGAACATTATAAAGGTAAAGAAATCCACCCTTCATTGAAAACTGGGCAGAGTTTGAACTTTCCATAATAAATGCAATACCTGTCTGCTTCACATACTACTGAATATTAATTGAATGATCCTAACCAATCAAATTGTTCATAGTAAATTCAGTGTATGATAAATTGCATTATACAATATTACATATTGCATTGCAAGCAATAACTCAAATTTGTGACCTCAAAAGTGGAAAAAATTGTATCAAATGCTATGTTATACTGAAGTTGTTTTCAGACTTACCTGAATTCGTTGAACAAGAGATTTCTTTTTTGCCTTGGCTTGTTGCAGGCTGGAATCTATGAGCTGATTTAAACAGTAAAAGTAAAATTCAAATCTCAGAAAGCTTCAAAAGCTACACACAGATGAGTTCATTGATAGTGGAACACTTTAAATGGGTTGATAATTTATCCCAATTCATCATTTCAAGAGGTTAAAAATGATTTGTCATTTCTGTCCATGGCATAACTACTCTATCATTCTACCTGATGTTACATCAAAAAAGTTTATCAGTGAACATTACTTTAATCCCTGAATAGTCTTCCCTTCACAGTGCCTCTGGTGTCACATGGGTAGAGTAAAAAACAAAATTAACCCTTTAAGCTCTAAGGGTGATTAGCATTTAACTTCTCCAAGTACAATATCACCCCTGAATCAAACAGTAAGGTTGAGAGAATTAAAAAAAGTACCACCAACTAAATCAAGAACTTCTTTAGTCAGGGTGATCATTTCTACCATTCTCATGGCCTCAATGTGT